ATGGAAATGTTCTGGTGCTAGGTAGTAGTGATGGTTGTAGAACCTTGTGAAGACACCTAAAAATCACTGAATTGTACACTTTAAAAGAGTGCATTTCACAGTACATAAATTATATCTCAATTTTTAAAAATCAGTTGACTTCTTGGTCTAGTCTAGGTGTTCTTTTGAGTATAATATGTCTTTCTTGCTTGCTGCTTTTAATACACATTATGGTGTACTTAGAAGTGTATATCTCTTAACCTGCTTGAAATTCATTTGTCTTTTGAAATTTGAGAATTAGAGGCTTTCATCAATTCTGGAGCCATTATTCTTCAAAAATTGCCTCTCCTCCATTATCTCTCTCTTCTCATTTTGGGACTCCAACTGGACTCATGACAGGTCTTTGATCTCTCTTTTCCATAGCTATTAACTTTGTTTTTATTTTTCATCTTTGTCTCTCCTTGCTGCATACTGGTTGATTTCTTTAGATTTATTTTATAGTTCTGTCTCAAGCTATACCTAATCAGCTGTAAATTCATCAATTAAATCTCTAATTTAATTTACTATTCTCTCCAGGTAATGGAAGTTCAGTCTAAATGAGGCCATATTTTGCTTACAAATGCTCAAGTGGGTATACCACCACCCACCACCCACCCCCAAAAAAACCCAATAAGCATCTAAAGTCAAAATAAGCAGTTTTCCCATCTGGCTCCTGGGAAAACAGGTGAATATTTTCATGTTTGTACATGAGCAAAAAATCCTGGCAAAGTATGAGTGAAATAACAAATACTAATTAAAGATAGTTTATAATCCTGAGAGATCTGCAAGTTTTCTCTTCTGGAGTTATTTCTCTACATTTCAGAGACCTTCCCCTTCTCTTTCCAGAGGGGATTTGTCTTATATCGGAGAGCAAATCTCCTCTCCTCTCCTCCCCTCCCCTCTCCTCTCTTCCCCTCTCCTCTCCTCTCCTCTCTTTTCTCTCTTTCTCTCTCTCTCCCTGCAAAGGGGAGGGTGACCACTGTGCAGCAGTTCCTATATAAACTCTGAGATTCATAATTTCGGAGTTCCCCTCCTGTAGGACAGATTCACTCTGTACATGCAGGGTGAATATCCACCATTGTCAGGGTACCCAAGAGGGAAAATAAAGCTCGGAGAACCAGCACTGTTACTGTTTCGATCTTTGATCCAGAAATCTAGTGTTTGCTATCAAGACAAAATAACTAAAGATAATTATAAAAACTCATCATCTCCTGAGTGTGTAGGGGGTGAGAGGTGGGTTTATTTTATGGATGCCCTGACATTACAGGTGTAGAACTTTGAAGTCCCAGCTTTGTACAAGGCCTTTCCTAGTATACTCACCAGTTTGGATTTATTCTCCTTTTCGCCTCACCCTATGAGGTTGTGAAAGGGAAATTCAAGACCACCAGTTTGGTGTATGCCCTCAGGATAAAAATCGCTTCACGCCTAAAGTGTAAGTTTGGGCTCCTGATATCACTTTGTTTTTCGTTATTTATATAGTTTGTTTGTATGTTTGTTTTTACCACCTTATTGCTATATAATTAATATACCATAAACTGTATATATTTGATCAATTTTATTAGCATACCCTCATGAAACCATCCCTATAGTCAAGATAATGAATATTTCCATCACCCCAAACATTTTCTCCCGTCTCTGCACCACATCCCTCCATTTACCCTCAAACCTAGGTAACCACTTTCTATAACTGTACTAATAATGCAGGGAGGAGGCAAGAGAATTAAAATATTAATCAAGCTGCATTCAGAGACCACAATATGCTGATCAGCCCTGCAACCAGGCCAGGAGGATTCCTTCAGAACAAAGGAAGATTTCTGCTGGGATTGCTAACAGCCCCTTCCCCACACCTGTGAAGGGGAAACAGGAACCAAGAGTCATTCCCTAAGGCTAAAACCATGGGGAACCTAAGGATTAAAGGATGGGAACTGCCAGCAGGCCTTTCACTCTACATATTCTTACCTTTTCATGCTACAATACATACCCTTCCCTTTCCTCACAGTATGTCCACATCAAAGGAAATGGGAACTAAAGAATGACGTGTAAATGGAATTCCCTGACCGCTCAGAGTCCCTCTCAGTGCCTTTACTCTCTCTCTCTGTTCCTCTCACTGTTCCTCTCACTCTCTGCCTCTGAGAGACCACACTGTCTGTGGAATGTTATCCTTTTTCTAATAAACTTTACTTTGGACTCCAACTTTGGCGTGTGTGCTGAATTCTTTCTACGCTCTCTACCAAAGGATCCTCCTCTTCTCTCAGTACAGGGCTTGGTCTCCCCTGCGCTGGGGGAAATGTGCCCTGTCCTGCATCACTATCATGATCCCTTTCACCACAGGACTACTTGCTATCTTTATACATTCATTTGCAGTTTTTAGAGTTTTATAGAAATTAAATCATGCAGTATGTACTCTCTTGTCCCTAGTTTCTTTCAGAATAATGGTATTGAAATAAATCCATTTTGTGTGTATTAATAGTTTGTTTCTTATTATTCACTTTGGTTTTGGACTCTGCATTCTCTACTTTCTTCCCAGCTCATGCTTGCACTTAATTTCTAAAAGTATTTTATCCGGGCATCTAGTTTGCCATACTTTCAGAAGCAGACATTTCATCTCAATGTCCTGCGGAAAGAAGTGTCTTCTGAGACCTCTTGATAGCTGTTGTTGGGGAGTGAATGAGTCAAGTGTAACAGATCCACTCTAGGATCCTTGTCTCCCTAAGAATTTCATTTCTTTTGCTACATTATGCAAATGAATTTCTGGCATCTCAATTTCATTATGTAGCAGAAGGCATGGGGCTTTATTTAGAGAGCTACAGGGTAGTTTGAGGAAGACTTTAGCTTTCTCCCAAATCTCCAGCAGCTCCTTATACTTTGATGCGAACAACTGGTATTTTTTCAATCTTATGTACAGTGCCAGGCAAGTACACTTGCCATGTATCCTTTCTTTTCCAATTTGATTATACCTCATAATTTCCTCCCACATTAACACTCTAAATTACATTTCTATGTAGGTAATGGGGCCATTTTAAAAAAATCAATGTGTATTGTATCAGCAAACAGGATCTGGGACACTAAACAAGCTGAGGACATTACATGGTGGGTGGTGGCGTGGGCAGGGAGGGAGCGTCTTAGAAATGCCAGAAGGCAATCCCTTCTTCCGAGGCAATAGAATGGCTATAAACAGGGAAGTTCCTAGGGGATCACAGTCCTGAAACTTATTTCATTCATTATACCTTTACCACCGTCCTACATATTTATCCTACATGTTTAAGCAGATAAAATGAGGTTAAAATGGAGCACCGAGGCAGCTCAAAGGTGAGAAGAGAAGTCAAAAGCATCCTTTGTCAAAATGTCTTCCACTATTTGTGTTGTCTGCAGAGCCTTGCACAGCTCTTAGTATACAGTAAGTGCTTAAGAAAAACTTCTTAAATGGGTGACCTATTTAGGGATAAATATTTAAGGACCTCCTTCCTTAGGGTTGAAGTACAGACTTGACAAATGCTTACTAAATGTTTGCCAAAATCAATCCAAACTCAAAATACATAATTTCATTGTTCAGCATGGGGCAGACAAGGAGAGATTGTCAGTATAGTTATTGTAGAAACATTGGACGTGGTGTCAGAACTTGGGTTCAAATCCAAGCTCTGTCACTTACGAACTGTGTGAACACTTTTATAGAGGAAGGGAAGGAGCATCTCAGTTTCTTCATCTTTAAGTGGAAAGAAAAAAGCAACCTACCCTGATTAGCTGGTTACCTTACCAACCATTACAATCCACAAGTGAGAGAATAGAGATGGGATCTCTTTGAAAAGTGTATTGTGGTAAATCAGTTCAAGGAACAATTATTATTATTTTTGCTGTCGATAATGATGCTAATAACTCAACATACTCTTCCATTTGAATGGGTGAGTTAGCACAGGAAACCCAAGTAGAAAAATCTATTTATTGTTTTTGCAAGAAACTACAGGGCACATAAGATATATCTGAGTCACAGCCTTTCTTCCTTCTCTCTAGCCTTGTGACAGACTGGAAAAGACCTCAAATTAGATGAGACAAAAATTATTAAATGGCAACCTCATGGGCCGGGCGCTTGGAAAAAGAGTTTGCATGGGTTGGACCATGAAGGACATGGTTCCCTTAGTGCCAAGAGTTATTTTAACCCCCATTAATATGGAGGGCCACAGGCTATTTAAAGCCAGGAAGCTCCAAACATAGGCAACCACCTCATCGTGACTCACAAAGATGATTTTCCACTCAACAGTCATTCTCCTGTCCTCCTGGAAAATAAGGTTTGCATTTTATTCTGGCATTTAATCCTTTCCTTGAATGACTCAGAAGGAAAATTTTGATTAGTTTAAGTCAGCCTTGGTGGTCCCATTTCCCTCTCAACACATATTTGTTGAATACCTACTATGTGTAAAACACTGCTCTAGGTTCTTGGGAATTAGCAGTTAACAAAACACAGTCCCTTCCCTCAGTCCAGAGGGTAGATGGATAACAAATACAACAGTATAACATTATGTCATATGGAAAGAAGTGCCTTAAACGACGAAGCAGAAGGAAGGTTCAAAAAAAGTCACAGAGGGTACTATTTTAGATAGCATGGTCAGGGAAGAGACGGAGGTTACATTTTAGCAGAAACTTAAATAAAGACAGGTGAAAAAGTAATTATATATACATCTTGGTATAAAGCACTTGGAATAGATACACCTTCTAGTTAGCTTTTTATTAATACTTATCTTTCAGTATTCAGAATGGTGTGGCCCAGGAGTAGACAAGCACCACAGACTACCAATATAGACCTCAGGACCAGCATGTAGAATCACAGCCAGGCATCAGCCAATGGCTGGTTTCCCATTGCCTCATGAGTCACCTGAGTGCTGCATTCAAGTTCACCTGCTCAGTTACAATAATAAAACTAGCTGCGCGAAGTTACTTATCTTTAGAGAGATGGCAGCATAAGCTGAATCAAGAGCATATTATTTCAAATGTCTTTAAAATAAAGGAAAAACAAACATTCTAAGGGCTGTCTTCACAGGCATTACTTATAGAGATATGAGGGAGGCCAGTTCACCATCTCATCATAGCCAAACCTGAGGGGCTGTTTAGGAGCAGCATGTGATTTGGTTCTGTCCAGTGACATGAGAGCAGAGGATTGCTAAAGGTATCTAGTCATGTTTTTCTTGCTCTTAAAAAAGAGACACCTATCTGAAAAGTCTACATACCTTAATTCCAATCGTTTGACATTCTGGAAAGGACAAAACCATGGGGATAAAAAGATAAGTAGTTGCCAGAATTTAGAGGAGAGGCAAGGATGGATAGGTACAACACAGGAATTTATGGGGAGGGAAACTATTCTGTATTCTGTATGTATGGTGGATACGTGTCATTATACATTTGCCAAAACCTATAGAATGTACATCAAGAGCTAATCTTAATGTAAACAATGTGTCAGTGTAGGTTCATTAACTATAACACACGCACCTCTCTTGTTGGGAAAGTCGATAGTGGGGGAGGCTCTACATGTGCTGGGGAAGGAGCTGTATGAGAACTCTGTACTTTCCACTCAAATTTCCGCAAACTACTCTAAAAATAAAGGAGAGAGAGAGAGAGGTATCCAGGTGAGGATGGATGAATAGGAAGTCAGAAGAAATATGAGGTCGTTAAATTTCTGGATTAACCAACCCTAGTTCCCTATAGTTTAAACCTGTTGATTTGGGACTTTCTGTAACTTGCAACCAAAAGCATACTAATTAATGCAAAGTTATCTAGGGTGGTCAGCTCATCCTGGTTTGCCCAGAACTCTCCTGGTTTTAGCGCTGTGTGTCCCACATCCTGGGAACCACCTCCGTCTAAGACAACAGGAAACAGTTGGTCACCTTAGTGACCACTTCACAGAATCTATTGTTGCACAGCTCATCATGTCTTCTCTGTTATTAAATCTAATGAACGCTTTTTAAATATTATTTTATTTGAGGTTTCTGAATTTTGACACTGTTCACCACTCCCGCCTAGCTCCTATGACTCCACTCTATCCAGATTCTCCTTTTGCATCCTGGTTATTCCTTTTTAGAGGCTCCTCTTTTTCTTTTCTCTCTTTAAATGTTGTTTGCTTAAGTTTTGGTCCTCCATCTACTTCGCTTCTTACTAATCCTCACAGTCTCCCACGGTTATCTCATTCACTCTGTGACTTTGCTTCCCACCTCTATGACTTTAATTCACCAGTCTTTATCTTAGAACCACCCATGAGCCCCAAGCTCCCCCTAATCAACAATTCTGGATGCCTCAAATCAAGACCGGATGTGCAGAAGCTATGTACACTTTCCTTTCCAGATCCCATACAGCACACCTGACAACTAAGAAAATGAGAGCTATAGCCGTTTTTTACACAATGGAGAGCTCTCCGATTTAAATTTAAAAACAAGTAAACAAATAAGCAAATAAAATCCTCACTTACTTCTTCTCCACCTAACTTGTGGCATCATTATTTGTGGCTGGAGCATCCACATGGATAAGCCACCCCACACTCTGGCCTCTCAGTTCCAATGACATTTTCTTCACACCTCAGGCACTCAGTCCGTTGTATTTCCTGCTCCTTGTCATCAACAGAAAATGATTAAAATTACCAGAAAATGAAAGAGATTTTTGAATTTATTTTCTTAAAGAAGGACCCCCAAATTATATAAGCTTCAGGCTCCATAAAACCAAGCCCACCCCTGCAAGGTGTTGATTATTTTGAAGATTACCCTTGCCCATCACCCAAGTAGCTGAACATTGCTGTGTAATATAAACGTCACACCTATCCTTGCCTAGTATGATCTAGTCCCCACCCATATCTGCTCATCTGCCACGTCTTCTTCACTCTGCCTTCCAGCCACGCTGGTCTTCCTCCACTTTTCTGATTATGCCAAGTTTACCTGCCCCCCATGTCCTTCACACATTTATTCCCTCCTCTTGAAATGTTCCCCTCTCACTTGTCAGGTCTCCACTCCTGACCATCCTCACTAAAGCAGCTGCTCCTGTCCATCAATCTCTTTCAAACTTTTCCTTTATAACAATGCAAAATTAGATTATTTCATTTTTCTGTTAACTTGGTTTTTGTTCATGTCTTCTATGCAACTATATTCTCTACGACTACAAGAATGAGATCTGTTTGTTCACTGTTGCGCCCCCAGTACCAACCACGTAAATATTTTGAATTATTTACAAATGATTGTCTGGAGTTGTTAGTGAGGATCTACAGCTAAAGGAAAAGTCTGTGGTGACCAGTGGAAGTCATGGAGGGTCCTTCCTGTCAGAACCCACCTGTCAAAATTCTCTAATTTCCTTCTGTGCCAAAAAAATGAGCTGGTCTCCCAGGCACATGGCTTTTGCCGGCTGATTTTCCAGATTCCCGCAGAACCATAAATGTTTCCAAAGCCTTATCAGGAAAGTTTGACAGTTCCGTTATGCTCTAGGCAAGCCACAGTATTCCCTCAACTCCTTTGCTGTAGCAAAAGTTAGGCTCCATTTTGGGCACCCAATGCCTCCTCCTTTCCCCACAACTTCTTCTACCTCCCTCCATTTAGCCAATATCTTTGGGCTCTAACGATTGTCCTCCATCACAGAGGAGGGCCCAAGGTAAAGGATATCCTTAGCACGACCACCGCGGGGTATACTACTTTATTAAGTTAGAGACTATTTAACATAGCATGCAAAATTATAAAAATGTTCATGCATATTCATGTGAATGGTAATTATACGAAATTTATGTTCTGACTGCCTGGGGCTGGAAATATGGTAACTTTAATCAACAATTCCCTGAGGGAGGTAATGTTGACAACTGGCCTGGGATATGAGGGATTCCAGGTGTGTTTGCAAAGAAACTGTTCTGTAAGAGCAGCTGCTTTTTATTCCCACCATCAATTACTATTAATGAACACCTTCTGAACTCCTTTTATAAACAGGGCATTGTTTTGGGCACTGTTATATTCTCATTTGTATAATGTACGTTTACAAAACACTTTGAAATGAGATAATATGCATTAGCTCATGCAATTCTAAGACTAATTCTGAAGTGAAGGAGTATTATTATGCCCTTTTATAGATAAGAAAATTGAAGACCTAACGATGTGTTGACAGCACAGTGTAAAGATAGAGGCCAGTCCTAGGGTTCTAAACATCTGTGTCTGGCCCCAGCTATTCCCCAAACTAGCTCATGATGCTTCACCACCCTTTAGATGTTTGTTTCCATGACTACTAAATGAAGCCATTGGACTAATCAGTGGTTCTCCACCTGGGCTGCACATTAGAATCATCAAGGGAGCTTTAAAAAAATCCTCATGCCCAAGTCACATCCTGGACCAATTAAATCTAATTTCTGGGGCTGAGAGAATCAGATTCACCCATGTTTATATAATGCTCCCCTGGCTATTCCAAAATACAGAGAAAGTTGAGAACGTTAGCTCTGAATTGAATGATCCCTTGGATTTTACAGCACACTGTAAATGTCCATCTGAAGACAACTTGCAGCCTCTGATCAATATAAATGTTCACTAATTGAGCTGTCCCCAAAGAAACCTATTTGAAATTGTTTAGCCAGGCCTCTTTCAATCATATGTGACCACAAAAGCCTTTCCTCATGTGATAATTATTAATACCTTATTAGTATTCCAGAGTACTAATGTACTCTGGAAAACGTTCTGTTCAGAGTGTATCTTGAAAAGAAAAAACAATTTTAAAGAGTTTCATTTTCTGTTATTTGGGGCTTTAGATGCATGCTTTAGGAAATACTCTCTTGGAAACTACCAGCATCTTCCAGCATATACCCACATGGGATGATGGCCACTTCTACTTACCTTTCTTCTGTTTGGGTTCAGCTGTATAATGACATTCTCTTCAGCATGTTCTGCATCTAGAGTAAGAAGAAAGGAACTTCTGCATATGTTTAATATGTTTCAGATGTTTTAAAGAGCCAAACATGAAAGCAAAACCATAAAAGTATAAAATAAAATACAGCAGAGTACACAACATACAAAATGCAAAAGCAAGAAAGATAAATTTTATTACCTCAGACTTTAGGCAGACGATCCTATAGACTGAAAGTAAACGAAACTATAGACTGGGAGGAAATATGTGCTGCATACATAACAAATCACGAACATGTGGAATATGTAAAGAAGTCTTATAAATCAACAAGGCAATGACAAACAGCCCCAAATAAAAATAAATGAAGCTATGAGGAGTAATTTGCAGAAAAAAAACAAATAGCCAATCTGTAAAGATGCACAGCCTTGCTAATAATCAAGGGAAAACAAACTAAAATAATAACAAGACCTCATTTTTCACACATAAGATTGGCACAAAATGTAAAAAGATTGATAACAGCAGGTTTTCCTGAGGAATAGCAAGTGGTGTATTCTTGCACACTGTTGGTGAAGAAATAAATTGGAAAGGCCTTTTTGGAGGACAATTTGGAATAGCTGATAAATTTTTTTAAATTCACATTCCCTCCCAGCAATTCCATTTCTTGGTCTCTACCCTAAAGAATGCCTTGGAAGTTCACAGGAAGACAGATACAGCTATGGTCAATGCCATGCTGTTTATAATGGG